TTGTTTGGGATGGAAAAAAGGAGTCAATTTCCCAAAAATGCTCCATCAGCAAATAGGTTAGTGTGCGATGTGGACAGTATGGCTATGTAATTTACTAACCACAAAGTCCAGAATCAGGTGATTAAGTCGCAAAACTTTAGCTGCATTTGGTGGATTAAGTCGCAAAACTTTAGCTTCGTTTAGTGGCGCCATTTACGCTAGGTAGACGGTGGTTGGTACATTTCTTACTAAAATTCAGGCAAAGGCCAGTCAAAGTTTAGACGGGAGCCGGGTTTTTATCGATGTTTGCCATTCTTATATGTGAGCCATCGTAAATTTATGGTTTTCCGGAGTTGCGTTCAATTTTAAATCTCCGAACTTCTGAAGCTGAGATATTCTATGAATGAAGGCTAGTATCGCAGTCTAGAATTTAAAAACGGGTGACCGAATAATGAATTAGGTGCTAAATGTTGATTTAATGCTTGGTAAGTTAAAAACAGACTCCGTCCGAGTGGGATTCATTCAAAAATTTGAGGGGGTTCGCTAGAAAAGGGGGGTTCGCCCGAACCATAACCCCCCCCCACCCTGGCTACGGGCCTGTCGTCAAAAACAAATCCAACGGCTTCAACTCATTCAAAATGCTGCTGCACGTGTAGTTACCAAGTCACCTAAGTACTCACAAATAACAAATACTTTGAAATCATTGCATTGGCTCCCGGTACAACACCGCATTGCTTTTAAGATATTATTAATAGTTTTTAAATGTTTAAATGGTTTGGCTCCTGGCTATGTTGCCGACATGATTCGGCCTTATATTCCTGGGCGTAACTTGCGCTCTTGTGACAAACTATTTTTACACCAACCTAAATCATATCACTCTTACGGGGATTGAGCTTTTAGTATTGCTGCTCCACGTATTTGGAACGCTTTGCCTTGCTCAGTCAAACACACTAGGTCTTTAAACTTTGCATCTCTTCACCGAGGCGTATAGAGAACTTTGATGTTTCTCTGTTGAATTCATATTATTAAAAAAAATAATAATAAAAAAAATAATACCACTTTTTCTCTGTCGGCGCAATGTTGCTCCTTTTGCAATGCACGGTAGTGGAGCCCTGGGCTTATCCTGGGGTGGAAGGTGCTGGTGCTTGACATGCTGCCTTTGAATATCTGCGCATACTTATATGGGGAGCAACACTGCCTCGATGGGATAATTTGGTATGCGGATTCTGTTCGAAATTCACCTGGAATTAATTTGGATTTTTTCCGAGGCGTATAGACTACCTTCATGTTTCTCTGTTGAATTTATATTATTAACAAAAAAATTAAATAAAAAACAAAACAAAACACATGATACCATTTTTCTCTGTCGACGCAAGTGCACGGTAGTGGAGACCCGGGCTTATCCTCGGGTGGAAAGTGCTGATGCTCAACATACTGCCTTTGGGTATCTGCGTATACTTATATGGGGAGCAACATTGCCTCGATGTGATAATTGGTATTTGGATTTTGCTGGAAATTCTTCTGGGAATTATTTGAATCTTGTTGGTTTAATTGTCTAAGCGCCTTGAGCACCTTTGGTGCGCTTTATAAATCTTTATTATTATTATAATTATTATAATTATTATTATTATTATTATTATTATTATTACTATTATTATTATTATTATTATTATTTATTATGATTATCATCATTTTTGCATTATTATTAGTCCTATAATAATCAATATTATTATTACGAATACATGATTTTATCATAATGATCATTATGATTATATGTTATTGTATATATTAATTATTATTATATTATTATTATCATTAATAATATTATTTATTGTTGTTGATGAAAATACTTACTATGGTCCTGTATCAAAGTACGCACCGTTGTAACGGATATAAAGTTGGTCCCAAAAACAGTAACTGTCGTCTTCAATGTTAAAAGTTTCAAACGTTAAACTCACTGTAGCGCCTTCTGGAGCCTTTAAGCATAAACAAACAGTGCATTATATATATAT